TGAATTCCGAGCCGCACAATCAATTGGAAGTTGGGCACCACCCAAACAAATCGAAAGGCGCGCTGGGCCAATGAGGCAGCGACACGCGTTCGGCACTCGACCCACTGCTGCCGGAGGGCCAGGCAAGCTGCCTGGTTCTCTCGCAGATCGGTGGCGAATAGAAGCTGCCTGGTGTCCGCTGCTGGCGGGGCGCAAAAGAGCATACTCAGCGAGCACCCAGAGATGTATTGAAGCATCTGCTCAATCTGAGCCTCAGGGAGCGTGGCCATGGCCCGAAACCCCGCTTAACCTACAGGACGTGAAATGTTGCGAGCCCTTGGCAAGCAGAACTCGCCACAGCCAAATGTGCAGGCAGGGATCGGTGCATATACGCAAAGCACTCTCACGTCAGGAGCTAGGCAGCTAGGCGCACTTTCTGCAACAACCTCGCCTGGTTACTGGGCACATCAGTGTGCACCCGGGCGGCACCGAGCAGTCTCATGCGCCGTGGTGGACGCAGGGCAATTGCAGGGTGGGCTCAGTAGCTGCCATCAGAATGTGGACCTTTCGTGTCCAGAGACAATTGCACAGGGGCGGGTAGCAGCCCTAGTCTGCGTGTCGAGTTGCAGGGTATGTGAAAACGTAATCGGACTTTTCCACAAACTCAGAGCCTGGTAAGTAGCGGAGTCCTGCAATTCACAATGTGCTCCATGAAATTGGGCTCATGCCAAAATCACGTGTTAACACATGTAAAACTGTTCAAGCAACGTGTGTAAAAAGGGCAGGGATGTAATGTTTCATCACCCCGCCTGAGGTTCGTTTGCACACTACCGTACAGCTACGAAGCTCACGAAACTAAAGCGAAACTCACTCCTCATGCCCTGTGCACCGTAAACTCTGGCACACGTAACACGGGCTCACCATTCTCTCACACGGCCTGCACATCGTAAAGGGCATTGATGTGCGTAACACGGCCTTCTCATTTCACATGCCTGGTCACCGTAAAGGGAATTGGTGACCGCAATTGGCATCATGTTTGCGTGCTTGCATCACGCCTCTCATACTGCCTTCCGTGCGGCAGTTCGTAGAACTCCAGTTGTATCATCGCATTCTCGTCCCTAAGAGAACGATTCTCGCACTTCAGCTCGCGAAGTGCTCGCTTGTCATCCTTCTGCTCATCCCAAAGAGCCGAACACAAAGCTCCAAGTTCTCGAACTTCAATGCGCTCTCGATTGAGCGCACACTGAGTGCGCACGAGCAAAATGCTCAGCGCCATAAGCACACATAGCAGCCCACAAAGAATCACAAAAGAAATCACATCATGGCTGCTTGTTGTTGTCGTCGTTGTTGTCGTTGTAGAAGATTCCACTTCCACCTCATGCAAGAAACCGGCCGAAAATGACCCAAGGCTCCAAGCAACTGTTGCCATAATAACACCCATGCAGTACACTGCCCCACGACGGTACCATGGCCCGCCGGGTGTTGCAATGTACAACCATCCATCATCACCATTGTCGGCACCATGCTCTGCTGTACTCTCCATAGCATAAATCGCCATGCACATCGAAACAAGCACTGCAAGAAAGAAGCATGCACTCATGTTTGCACCTGTACTCGAACTCGCCTCTGCAGGAATCGGCATCATAAGCAAAAGCATTGCCACTCGCTTCACCCACGTGCTCGACGCATCACTTCCTACCACTGTTCGAACACGTTTAACCTGAGCTTTCATCGACGCTGAAGTGACCGTCTGCTCCCACTCGCCTTCTCCAATGGGTCTGGAGTGGCAGTCCACAAAGTCATGCAGAAATAGCAGCGATCGCAATCGGCTTGGGGCAAGTGGCTTGGTGTGAAGGTCTCCTAAATTGAAGTGAGTCGAGATGTACTTCATGACAAGACGCTTCTGTTGCACAATGTCTTGTAACCATAGTAGCCGGCCCTCCAAATGCTTGCTAGCTTTTGTAACTCCTTGACGCAAACAGAACGCTTTGCAAGACTGATTGTCAACGTATACAATCAAGTCGCAGGGGCTCCGGCTCATAAACTCGATCACAGCCTTCATGAACAATCCCAGGCACGCGCTTCCCACAGCACTGTAGTACTCGCTCTCCATCGAACTCAAACTGATGCACTTCTGAGATCTACAGATGTAGTGGACGTACTGTCCATTCACGCAGAAACTGGCCCCGCCGTATGAACGGCGATCCTTCTTCGAACCCGACCAGTCAGCATCCGAAAACACTTCCAACACAGCACGCTCGGAGTCATCTGCACAACAAGAATCATACAAATGACTGTTCAGCTTCCTGGTCCCAGGGGCTGCAAACTTCATCAGGATCCCATAGTCACTTGTGTTGATGAGGTACTGTATCAGTTTGATCAAACCAACTTTTGCATGCTCCGTCGGCCTCGCCATGTAGCTCGCAAGCATGCGCACAGCATACCCAACATCGGGCCGATCACATGATATGTATAAAGCGGTCCCAACTGCTTGTCGGAATTTGCTTGCATCGGTGTGGTTGAGCTCACGGGTGGTGTCCTTAGCACGAAGTTCACTCCAACATGGGACTCGTTGTCTGTTGTTTTGCGTGACATTCATGGTCTGCTTCATCTGCTCAATGTAAGAAGAGGCTGCCGAATCACAATACCCTGGTCTGTAATCGTATGCACACGCTTGAGAAAACTGAAGGAGTGACCCACCTCGTACGCAAGCTCATACGTGATCTGAAACCGTTGCTCAATCACTGGAAGAAAGCACTCGGGGGCCCACTGGAGCGGCAAAAGAAGTAGAGAGTCATCCACATGAATCATGCCCGGACCCTTGTCTGCACAAACTCCATCTGATCCTGGCTTGCTGCTGACATGCACTACCGCAGGGCACTCTTTGCACTTTTCAACCACAAAGTGTTCTCCGAGATACTCGCAGAAGTGAGAGAACCACTGCTGCGATCCTGCGCGTTGCCCCGGCACCATTCGCATGAACACGAGATCTCGACTATGAAGTTCTCATCTACATCCGTGGGGGGGGTAACCCCCCTGAGGGTTCGAGCTAAACCAGTAGGGGGTTTGGAAAAAACGAGACGATTTTCAAGTTTGTCATCAAAACGACTGGGGGGTTCGTTTTCGGAGCCATAAAAAGTTCAAATTCGGAAAAAGTGGTCTGGTCACTTCCCATACCAAGTACTTGCACCGGGGAAACCCGTCAGCTCAGCTAGGTTGCTACGACCCCAGCAGACACGCAAGTGCAAAATCGCTGCCTGCCAAAACCCACGATATTGCTCCTAAATTCTCGAGCAGACCTACTAGCCAGGCACACATGCTTTCACATGTCGTTGTAAGCATTCCCACTGAAATCCACACACACACACACAGAGCACAACACCAAAGCCCAAACCCCTAGACGCCTAAACAAAACACGACACACACACACACACACACACACCCAAAGCCCGAACCCCTACACGCCTAAACGGAACACGACACACACACACAAACACGTGATGCACCTTTTTCTCTCGCACCCCACGAGCTTTGTGCAGAAAACTTATGCCTTATGCATAATTATTCCAGCGAGTCATCATCATGGAATCCAGAGTGTCAGTCGGCTGCGAATCTAGACCGCAATCGAAGGCAGGAGGCAACACCGGAGGGGCCATCCCTAGGAAAGGGATGACCTGGGTCTCGGGGAACTCTTCTGGATCTGACGCAGGCACCTCTACAGCAGGCTCCGCTACATCCATGACACAACTTTCCTCGCACTCTGCGTTTTCCAAGACGCCGAGCAGTTCAGACAAGTCTTCGTTCAGCCCTTGTTTCAGGGCCCTGATGTGCTCCTCTAGGGCCCTGATGTGATCTTCTCGTGCCTTTCGCTCGGCGAGGAGCTGATCAACATTTGCACGCAGTGCAGTGGTCAGATCTTTTTGCAGCTGCAGCCGATAATTCGTAATCTCCAGTTCCACCTTGAGCTGTTGCTCCAGTGTCCCAGGAGTCGAAAAGGTCGCAGCTTCACGGCTCTCGAGATCTCTGGTGACAGAGTCCCAAGTTTCCTCATCAACTACGTAGCTTCTCTTCATCTTAGGCAGAAGCTGTGAAAGAGGAGTTTGAGCCGAAACCTCGTGTGTCAAAAGGATAACACACGACACACACACACACACACACACAAACACGTGATGCACCTTTTTCTCTCGCACCCCACGAGCTTTGTGCTGAAAACTTATGCCTTATGCATAATTATTCCAGCGAGCCATCATCATGGAATCCAACGTGTCAGTCGGCGAATCCAGACCGCAATCGAACGCAGGAGGCAACACCGGAGGGGCCATCCCTTGGAAAGGGATGACCTGGGTCTCGGGGAACTCTTCTGGATCTGATGCAGGCAGCCATGGTGGCGGTACTATGCGAAATCATTGACTTTGCATAGTAACCGCCACAATGTGGCTAGAACTTACTACAGCCAGCGGGCCAGCACCTCTGCCTTGACGGAGGCTACTACTCCAAGACAGTGTCGTGGAGTTGTAGCCACCGTCAGGGGGGAGGTGCCATCCGTGGGTAGGAGGTGGCCTCGGCTGTGAGGGTTTCACCCTCCCAGACTGGCACCGGCAAACTACGCAGTCGTTTGTAACAAGGGTGCTCTCAGCATATCCTTGTGTGGCTGTGGCCTCAAACTCAGCAGACACTTATCATCTAGTCTTCAAATTAGAGAAAGCAGGACTTTGAGCCGAAACATGGTGGGCCAAAACCTCATCGTGCTTGAATGAACAATCGCTTAGCTTTTCAATGGACCCCCCTATGGAACCGAACTTTTCCTTCTGATTCATCTGATGCCACGGCAGTGGGTCCCCAACAGTTGAAGAAAGAAGCACCCGGCTTGAAAGGATCATGGCTCTCCACAAGCCTGCTAGTGAAACCATGTTGTGCTGGCCTGCAACACAATCCAACAGATTGTGTACATGCCGAGCTTTTCAGTTCGTTGCCTCTTCAACGAACGCCCTGGGAGAAAACAATGGACCTCTTCTTGTCCATTAGTCCAGCACGCTGAGGAAGTGGTTCAGAAGTTTACCTGTTCTTTTGGCACCCAGCTCGGGGGTGCGGGCGACCACCTTTGCAAGGCTTGATGCCCATTTGCAGGAGCTCGCCGTCAGTACGAACAACTTCAGCATGTGGGCTGGAATGCTTTCGGGGCTGTCATCCTTCTCGACGTCGTACTCCGTGTTGATCATGATGTACACCATCCCTGGCGGCAGGACGATGCCCTGGCCGGCGGACAAGTTTGCAAACCACTCGCAGCGGTCAAACAACTCTTGCGACGTGAGGGCTTTGAAGTCCCCGAGCTGTGTTTCCTGGGTGGCACGGAAGCCGGCGAAGAAAACGCTTGTCCCCTCGAGATGCACCGTCAGCTCTGGCAGGCTGAAGGCTGTGCTGGTGTCCACACGGCCGCCCATGCACTGGCAGAACATGGGCCTCCACAGGTCCAGCAGATCTTCATCCCCCGGAAGCGAAAGGCGGTCAGCGACTGCCACCGGCAGGCTCTTGCCGATGAAGCCGAGAACTTGCTTCGCAACTGCCTCTCGTGTGATCACCGCAGTGGTTACACCTCTGCCATCTGTCTTCATCTTCTCTCCTAACCACTGCTTCTGGGACTGGTAGTAAACCAGATCGTGAACACTCTTGAGCAGGCCTGTGATTTGCTCGGCAGGGATCAGCACTGGGCCCTTGCCAGGCATCTGATCCAGCATATCCTCCTGCAGATTGAACCACACCCCGTTGCTGCCTCGCTGAAACTTCGACCATCTTTCCTTCAACAGCTCCTTTCGCATCCAGCAGACACAGTCCAGCATCTCCGGGCTGATTGCGATGTCAGCTGCGGCTTGCGACGAGGTGCCGTTCGCAGATGTGGCAACGGTGAGGGCCTTGTTCTTTGCCTTCTTCTTGGCCAGCGAGTCCTTTTTGGCCAAAGCCTTTTTGGCCTCGTTGACCAAAGTTCGGAAGGCCTTCATCCTGTCCTTCACCTGGGTTGGTGGGTGAGCAAAAAACAAATGGAACAACAAAACGGTTCGGATACAACTACGACTGCGACCAACACACTACAAACCACATACGTTACCTGAAATCCTAAACCCCAAACCCCTTAAACCTTAAACCTCCAAATCAATCGCAGGCACCGCCTTCAGCTGTGGCCACTCCCCAGGACCCTTCTTGCACGCCTCCGTGGCCTCCTTCAGGTAGTTGAGCAGCTCGTCGTCGTCCTCCGTCCGTCGAAGCCATCTCCTCCTCCTTGATTTTCCGCTTTGCTGCGAGCTCAGGGATGGATTGAAGAAGTTTGCCCAAGTCCTCTTCGAGTGCATCCATTGTTGACTGGAACTCTTTCTTTGTTCCTTCGTCTTCCTCTGCCATCATTGCCTGAGTCTCTTCTCTCAGGCCGGTGAAGGCTTCCTGCTGCTTGCCGTGTGCGGAGGCAAGCATGGTCTCCTCCCGGGCATGGGCATTCTTGATCTGCAGGAAGAGCACTGCCCTAACGGGTTTCTTCTTGTCCTTATTCTCAAGCCTTTCCTTGTCGGCTTGTTGCTTCTCCAGCACCGTTTCCATCCACCTTTGATCTCGCAGAGCCTCTTCCTGCTTGAGCTGATCGAGGTCTCGGGCGACATGCAGTCCCGGCACCGAGGCGTTTTCCATGCCTTGGTCGAGCATGGCCTTTTCGGTTGCCAGCCTTTCAGCGGCCTTTTTGAGCCTCTGTGCTGTCAGCTCTTGGCAGACAGCCAGCTCGCTCTGGTCTGTGACGTCCATTCGCTGGCGAAGAGTTCCTGCTACGCTGTGCTCCTGTGCGAGCTCGCCCAGCAAGCCACCAAACTCCTTCAGCATCCAGACGCGTCTCAACTGCTTGCTCTCGGTGTCATCATCCTGACACCTTTTCAAGAACTTCGTCCGCCCATCCTCGTAGTTCTTCACGAGGCCCAAGGTCATCTCTCTGGCGACCCAGTCTTTCTCAATCCACCACCTATCCTGCTCGCTGTTTCTCATGGAAGCCCGCCGAGTGTCTTCGACAACCCCGACGGCGGTGGCAAATGTTCTCTTCGTAGACACACCGCCACCACCACCACCGTCCTGGCGGTGGGACTTCCTTTCACTCCTGTACCACTCGTACTGCTCCTCCTTCGTCATCTTCCCCAGCTGCTTCTTCAAGTCCGCAGCAGTCTGGCACTTGTTCAGCAGATCCTCGTCGTGAGCATTGAGCTCACCCTCTTTGGCTTTCTTCTGAGCCAAACTCTTCGCCTGATGGGAGCTAGGATTAGGGGATTAGGGGGACTCTTGGGGTACCCGTTAAGGGGGTCTCCCTAATAATACTACCTACCTGAGCGATCCTGAGCGATCTGCTTGTTCAAGATCCGCTCCGTGCCGCCGCACTCCTGGCAAATCCTGAGCAACTCGTTTCGTCCCGTTGCATGGGAAGTCGAAACAGTGGTGGGCTCGTTGCATTTGCGGCAAAGGAGTTCGCCGGTCCCATCCATGGCTGGTCTCGCTGACTTGCACAGAAGGGGCCAGGGCACCAGGCCAGAGGGGTCTCGGTCAGGTGCTGCTGCTTGAACCAGCAGTTGCTATTTCATTGTCAAGCCTAAGCCCTACACTCTAGTTGTCAGAACACACTTCCTGGCGACTGAAGGAAGTGCACCATCATGAAGCATGCCATCCGCCTGTATCGAAAACCTTTTGCACAAAGTGCACTGATCAGCTAAACTGATTAAAGAAACTGAGGCCTGCATTGCACGCACTGATCTAATTAACTAAATTAAGACACCGAATTGACTACAGACTATGGATGAGCTCTCCGGCAGTGACAGCTGTGCTTCTGCACTCTGCCATGAAAAGCTCAAAGCTGCCTAATCGAGATCTATGGCTATGCATCCGCATGACCGACGCACTGCCAACTTGTCAAAATGGCTACTACGGTTCGCCCTGGGACTGGTCGGACTGGTACTACGACTATGGATGAGCTCTCCGGCGGCAGCTGTGGCTGGACTTTGGATATGATGAGCTCTCCGGCAGGCAGGCAGCTGTGGCCCGTCTTGTGGGACTATGGATGAGCTCTCCGGCGGCAGCTGTGGCTGGACTTTTAATGGGACTATGGATGAGCTCTCCGGCGGCAGCTGTGGCTGGACTATCAACTGGACTATGGATGAGCTCTCCGGCGACACTCCTGCATCCGCCCACGGCCTGCCTTCTTTGCTATTGATGCCTGTCTTTCCCCGGAGACGCCTTCGCTTGGCAGCTGTGGCTGTGGATCTGGGACTATGGATGAGCTCTCTGGTGGCAGCTCCAGTGGCAGCTGCTGCTGCTCTTCTCGGACTATGGATGAGCTCTCCGGTGGCAGCTGTGGCTCTACGCACATTTCGGTTGGCAGCTGTGGCTGTGGAATCTGGGACTACGGAAATTTGGCTTCCTGTGGACCCGACCCATGCTGCCTGTGGCTCTTAGGTCCTCAAATGCCATGTCCCACAACTGGGCCCGATCTGCCAGCAGAAGCATCGGAGCCACGAGACATGCCATCACCAACGTGTGCATGCCGTTGCCGGCGGCTCTCTTTGCAGCTGCCCTACTGGCAAAAACTGTTGCTGTCTCTGCCGGGTGGCCCATGAGCAAGAACCTCTCCGGGATGGAGAGCATTCGGTGCAGCTCTTGTTTATCCCAGGACTGTTGCAAGTCTTCCAGGCTCAATAGAAAAAGAGCCGGGCCGCCAGTCCGGAGGCTGCTGGTCTTGCCCAACTCGAACCGAGGACCGTAAGCATTCGTGGGGTCACGGTCCAGTTCTGCACAGGCCACACGAGGGCGGCCTTGGTCTTCAGACTGGGATGCCATGCCCTTGTACCTCTGCAGGTTCCTTTGCATCCCAACCGACAGCATGCTCGGGTCGGTGGGTGGCAAGCCTTGCTGCAAAAGTGACTCCAGTGTAACGGGCTTTCCATGGCCAAGCTGGTCCACTGTCACCACTGGCAAAGGGCCATGGAACCCACGAGGCAAGCAGTCCAAACGAAGGCCTCGGATGAAAGTCCGCCGTCTCCGCATGGGCCCCCAATCAACAGAGTCTTCCACACGCAAATCCAAGTAGAACCACGGCAAACAGCACCTGAGGTGGTCTATCACCTGATCACAGTATGGGTGCCCCTTCAAGGTATTGGAGTTCTCCAGCAGAAACCAGAGCAAACAACCTCGGGTGCCCAGCTCGACTACCCAATCCACAACTGTGTCAAAGGGAACCGATCGGGCATCAGAGGTGCCATGTCTTTGGCCAGCAGGGGAGAAGGGCTGGCATGGTGGCCCAGCCACGAGCTCTTCTGAATCCTCGAGCTTGTCGAGGGGGACGTCTGTTATTGAGTGCTCTGGCCCTATGTGTGCACCTGGAACAGCCTTCCAATGACCCAGCAAGCCACTGTCTGTGTCGTAACAATTTACGGCACGGTGACGGTGCAAGTCGCCTGGCATGGGCTCAAGGGACTGCTGTACCCAGGTCTTGAATGGGCTCAGGCCCACACAAGGCTCAGACACCAAGGGCACGTGCTTCCTCTTTCGAAACACAGCCCCTAGCTCCCACAGCTGCTGCCGCTGGGACCAACCCGGCCTGGCGGCAGCTGTGGCAGGGCCTGCTTCTTCTGCGGCTACACATGCACCCTCCATGGACAGGACACACAGCCACACACCACACACTCCAACCCTGAAGTCTTGTCCCAACCCCAAGCTGTGAACCGAATCGACGGTGGTCTTGGTCTCTGCACTCATTCAACACCTGGCACGCCTTTGCATAAACAAAACAAATGCTGCATTTTCCATTCACTGCCTTGGGTCATGCAATCGGAGAGCATGCAGCTGAATTCTCTGCTTCCTATGGATGCTCACATCAGGCTGTTAGTCGTGGGGCTGTCATGGATTGTCCATTCAGCACCAAAAACACTAACTCACTTCGTGACTTCGTGTCTCGCCTCCACACGGTCCACACTTGTGGCTGTGTGGCTTGTGTGGCTTGTGACAGTGGCTCAGACACGTGGCTCTGACCACCACAACTTCGCCGCCGTCCTGCACTGTCTTCTTCCAACACCACTTCCAGATCTGCCCCAAAGAGCCAGCGGCGGATCCGACGGCCGACGAAGTTGCCGTTGCAGCCGTTGCGAAGGAGTCCAAGGCGGACGAAGTTTGCTGGTGCAGCCGTTGCGAGGGAGCCCAAGCCGGACCCGTTGGATCCAGTTGCTCTCGCAGCCGCTGCACCGCCTCCGAAAGGAGAGAAGCTCACATCCATCGTTGCGGAAGCTCCGGCCGCACGAGCGGCCTCAGGCGAGGCAACACGCTTCCGCTTCATCCCAGTCATTCTACAAATTCAAGAAAGGATCTTGGCCATGCACTGCTGCAGTTCCCGCCAGGTTTCCGCCCAGTTCCCGCCCAGTTCCCGCCAGTTCGCGCCGAGTTCCCGCCAAGTTCCCGCCAGTTCCCGCCGAGTTCCCGCCAGGTTCCCGCCAGTTCCCGCCAATTCCCGCCGAGTTCCCGCCGAGTTCCCGCCAGTTTCCGCCAGTTCCCGCCAGTTCCCGCCAGCGACGAGTTCCCGACAAGTTCCCAAGTTCTGTGAAAAACAGAGCGCGCAGCACTCGGTCTTTTTCTTGAGCCAAAGCGGAGTCGCGTCGGGCTCTGACTGACAGTGAAACACCTTGCAGCTGTCTGTCTCCAAGCAAAACACTTCAAGCACTAACGAAACGAGACGAAACGAACGTGCAGTCACTTCCTAACTCAAAAGCACTCCTCACAGCTTCAGGCATGCCGAAAACATCAGGACATCCAAGGTCAAATGGGATTTTCTCTCGAAGCGCACAGCTGTCACGGCTCCAAGGCCAAGTGAAAGAAACAAACAAGCTACCGAAACACAGATCAACAGAAACTACACTGCCTACGGAAGTCTCGCACTGCCACCCGAAAGTAGCAGAGCGAGACTGTTGCACGCAGCGACCTGGACCTTGTGTGGAGAAACACGCGACAGGGATGCATGAGCCACGAATATCAACGGGCATGCAGGCAGGATGCATCCCAGTGCCACGGAGAGGCCTAACAAGGCAAAAGTTGCAAAGTCAGCACCAGCTTGACAGACCTGCAAGCAAGCAGGTTGAGGTGTAGAGGAGTAGACCGCAGCCGCCCAGCACCTGTACAAACCAGCTACCAGCAGCCTGTACACAGCAGCCTGTACACTCCCCGATGGTATGAACCCGACTAGGGCACACACCACCAAGGGCACATGAGCATTATACCAAGAAGGCGACTCAGAGGCCCGGCAGTGAGCTGAGCATCCAAGGAAAACATGAGCCCTCGGATTCAGGACCGACTCAAGGTGCAAGATCGTGCATGCGAGTTTACAAACTAGCAGCCCAGCACTACTGGGTTCAAGACCCGAAGTCGGGTGTGAGGTGGCATATTCTTCAACCAGCATTGGCACAGCAAGGCACTGCGGAGTTAAACCGCCCACCTCACAGACCACACTAGGTATATAACCAAACCCATGGCACAGGTTTTGCAAGTGCATCATGACTCATACCTGACCTGGCCATAGTGAAGTTGCAGGGTCCACCAAGGTGCAGCAACAACATGTGATCGCATGACTTGGGCGATGTAGGTGCAGCCACTGGCGCACTCCGGGACCCCTTAGTGTTTTTTTCTTTTTTTTTTGGTGGGTGCAGCCACACAGGGCACACACCTGTGATTCAGCCACGGCTTTGGCTATAATTGGCATAGCAGCTTTAGGTTGCACTGCCCACGAGGCCCGCAGGGTAGGCATTTTAGAAACCCAAAAGGAACGCCAAGCAGAAAGGGTGCAGCCTACAGGGCGCACACCGATGCATTATTACAGGGGTTGAAGCTAGGAGTTGTCCAAGTCAACAGGGATGCACTCCCTATAAACCCCGAAGCCGGGAATATGGCATATTCATCAACCCAGACCTAAGTTTTTGGGTGCCCATGGTAAAATGTGGGCAGCGGCCCTGGTGCATCCGAACCATGGGTTACCCTTCTGACCCAGGCCCAAAGGGTGTATGCATAGTCATCAGGAGGATTGTTTTTTTTTTTTTTGGGAAGGGTGCAGCCAACAGGGCGCACACCTTTGCTGCAGACCACAGGCTTTAGCTGTTACAGTGAAATGCACCTATTAAGGTTGCGTTCCCAGCGAGGCCCGAAGTCGGGTACAAGGCATATTCATCAACCCAAAATTGAACGATAAGCACTAAGGGTGCTGCCGGCAAGGCGCACACCGATGCATTATCAAAGGGATTTAACCCAGGACATGTGTCCAAACCAGCAGACGTACTCCCCACAAGGCCCGAAGTCGGGTGAATGGCATATTCATCAACCCAATTTTAAATTTTTGGGTGCAGCGTTCAAGCGCACTCCAGCTGGGGATTTGACAAGTGGGGACTATGTTATGACACCGATCTGCAAATGAAACCTTTCAAAAGGGGCTTCACACCGCCTACTTGAAGGAAAGACG